TGTACAACCCCTATCGTAGCTGTTACAATAGCGTTCAGAGTACGGAGTATAAAGCCAAATTCAATACCGTTTAGTTCATTCAATATCCACGCAATACGGATGCAACGGGCGCTAGTGTTTCAACTCAAGAGTACGAAGTTTCACAATACCAATGTCGATCGATCGGAATTGGATTCAAGAGTAAGCCTGCTGGTCGGGAGAAGAGTTATCAGTGTCTCTCGCGACGGTTGGGGCGTGAGGTTCGTTCCCTCACACGTTCCACCTCCTTCTTAGCTTAGCTAGCGTAACTGCTTAGCAGAAAGAGAAGATGGCATCCCAGTCCCCCTGACTCCGTACCAGAGCCGGAGGAGAGAAGTCGCCCGATATTGTATGCTAGGTACGCCTCTGCCGATGGCCTTTACTTATCTTTTCAAGAAATAATGGATCGTGATTATGTTATTTCGTAGTGCGGTAATGAAAATTGATAATGGTACTGACAAGAATGAAACATATTATTATGGGAAGTACCTGAGAAGTACGTAATATCAAAGCAATGGATTACAAACTATAGAGTATATAAAGTAACGTAACTTCATATCTTAATTCCTTAAGAAGATAAACAGATATGTACAAATTGTCTGAAGTGTTATGTAGGACAGCACATTAAAATATAGAGGTCACAAATCGAGATACGAATTCTGAAATTAAATCCTTAAAAATACACATTCCCACACGAGAACCGATTTCGAGACTAGTCAACAAATACTCGAAAATTCATATATGTATAGTAGTAACTACGAGTGTAGTAGGTAATGTTATATATGTACATTTTCTTTATAAAGATATTTTTCATTATAGAATGTCCTGTCCTAGTCATCAGGATAAATGGACATATCTATTGAGCTCCAACTTGACAGCCAGGTCAGCTAGTGCAATAGGAACAAATGTCGCCTTTATAACTTGCAGAAATAAAACAAATGACACATCAATGACGTCAGACCAAAAATGACAAGAGCAGAAATATATCTAGTTCTCTTTCTAAATCCAAGTTATTGCCGCCTTTAGAACATTACGAAATAAAAGAAATGACACATCAATGACGTCAGACCAAAAATGACAAGAGCAGAAATATATCTAGTTCTCTTTCTAAATCCAAGTTATTGCCGCCTTTAGAACATTACGAAATAAAAGAAATGACACATCAATGACGTCAGACCAAAAATGACAAGAGCAAAAATATATCTAGTTCTCTTTCTAAATCCAAGTTATTGCCGCCTTTAGAACAAATACAAAATTAAAAACAAGTGACCGAAAAATATCGCGTTTTCATTCTAAATTCAAATATTGCTTTGCTTTTAATTCTATAGTTAATAGACCTATAGACTGATGACTGTTGATGAAGCGACTGTTGATAGGTATGTAAGAATTGTAGCGATTGGCGTTCCGTAGTCTCTGCCTATCGCCATGGGAGACAGGCGTGAGGCTATGTATGTAGGTATATTAAGTTAATACAAACTCATGTCTCACTTAATAAAAGTTGTATCTAACGTTTATCGCATAGTCCTCTGAGATATGTAAATTCGTAGTTAAAATACTAAAATACGCGTTTTGTTAAATGACCTCAGAAATAGCATATAAACATAACATCACGCCTTTTATCTCCGAAGGGGTAGGCAGAGGTGCACATTATGCCACTGTACAATGTAACACCCACTTTTCACTATTGCCATATACTGAGGTTTTTACAAACCCAGTAATACTAGCCCGACCCGGGAATCGAACCCGAGACCCCTTGCCCGGCAGTCCTACTTGCGGCCACTTGGCCAACGAGGCAGTCAGAATTTATAATTATATCTATATGTAGACCTACCAATTAGTTCATCAACTCACGACACGAACACACGTAGCCGGCGGTTTTTTTTAAGGTGGGAAAATCATCGAATGACTGCTCCCTCCTGGGTGAGGCGAGGGAGTGTCAGACTCTTACTGACTAAAAACCACCCCGTTCCTTCTCCTGCGCTTCTAGCCGGAGCCCCGGTAACCCGTTAGGTTCTCCGCGACTCCGAATCATCTTAGAGGCGCGCGCAACGCGACGCACCGTACGGTCGGGTCTGTTTCTGGTCGGACGGGGAGCCACCCATGCTCGCCGTCCGCAAGCCCGCGCTTACGGTAGCCGGACGGTTACTTTTGTGACTTCTTGACTACGAAAAAAAAAACCATTTCTCGTAGCACTGCTACGACGGTCTACGCATTGTCGTAGCAATATGTAGGTATATTAGAAATAGAATCAATTAATTCATACCTAATGTGATCTTGATTCAAATCTCAAGATTTTCACAGAAAGTCCTCACAACTAATGTCTTGTTTGCAGTCTGTTTAAAAAGTTTTTATTAAAAAAGAAACCGTCTAAGGTGAAAAGTCTTAACAGCCTATAAGTAGCCACTACTGACCAAAGGCCTCTTCTCACACGGAAAAGGTTTGTGCATTACAAAATCACCACGCTTGCTCAATGCGAGTTGGCGATTTCAAACTTATAATTAGAAATTATAAGCCCAAGTTCCCTCGCTATGTTTCCTTCACCATTTGTCAGTGGTGTCTAGATAAACTCTAAGTTTATACATACATATAACTCGGTTAAAGTCCCATTGGTAGTTCTCGTTGGTAGGTTGCGTACTCTCATGCATGAGAAGCAGGCGTCTTAAACCTCCGAGCCACCACGACCGACCGACCGAGGTGAAAGGTCTAAAACAGTCTAATTAGCATTAATTAAAGAAATAGGATCTTCTATTTGTCCATTATATGTAGTAATTAATAGCGTAACGGTTATATTTATTATATTTATTTTTTCAGTATTCGCATTTCAATCACTTGACCAATAGGACAGTCAACAATACAAAGTCTAGAAAGTTATTACAAATCAAAAGTCAACAAACAGTCCACCAAGTGATTTTTATTTAACCTACTTAGAACATTACATAAAATTTATGAATGTACATGAAATAAATACATTATTAAGTACAACAATGATCAATAATATTTTTACGAAGCGTTATGCGTACTAGATTTGGCTCTGGATAATCTTTGGATATAACATGATGATTGCCTTTGCGCGCCTCTGGGTAATCATTAGACACTTTATAATGACTAATGGCAGGTTTTGACGCCATCCAAATGAATCTCTTGCTTCTTAATTTAGATGTAGAAATATAGGGAGCACTTGATTCTGGTGAAGTCACTGTTTCTCTGTCTATTGCGGACTCAAAATCGGTGTTTAGATTTTCAACAATGGTTTTCTTCGTGGCACTTCCATTGTCTTTGTTAGTAAGATCATTGTTTTCGGCCATTTTATTCTCTGCATCAATTTCTACAATCGGTTGTTGGCTATATTTGTTGATATTCTCTTGAATGATAAATTTACTGTCTTCATGGAAGATTCGAAGTATGTTATTCGTTGATCCATTTTTATTACCTGTGTCTTTGTCTTCTAATTTATTTTCTTCAGGGCTTTTTACATAATTTACTGCTATTCCGTTTTTAGTTTCGATTGATGCCGTATAGCAAAAACTAAGAGCAATAATTAATATGTACTTTATCTCCATTTTCATTCAGTCTCTGAGATAGAACTGCTATAAAATATATTTATAGATATGTACGTGCTAAATGTACCTATTGCAATATCTTTGATGAAACGTGGTTTTCTATTCATAGGTATTAATATTACTTATTATACTTTTTTTTAATGTGTGTAGATATATTACTGTTGTTTAGGTGATATGCATACGTATGCATCTTTCTTCAATAACAACAAAAATGTACCTACATAATTGCATAAGAACATTTTTTTGCCTGTAAAAAAACTCTAGAAGTATTCATGCTAATGAGTAATGATTTATTGTAATTTGTTTAAATAAGTATTCAATGTGTAATATGGAGTTTTAAATTATACCCTGTTTTTTGAGACGTCAGTAAGTTTGCCTCCCTGCTTAAAGAGAAGTACACATACCCCCCTACTACAGTGGCGTGCAGTCCATATAGGCAAAAAGGCTTTGCTTGACATAAAATGTACAAACGCGTTTAGTAAGATTCAATAATATAACAAAAGTTTGTAAAAAAACGGCTAACATAATTATACATTCACATATATACTATACACGGACCGCACGCCTTTGACCCTCTACCAAATATACTGGAAAATTAAAAGGTGTGATAGGACTGATAGGCACTTAATATTACGGATACACTATGTTCAAATTGAATTCATTTCTCAAGATACTATGTTACATAAAATTATTTTTTTAATTTTTCATGAGTTAAATATACCTAGGTACCATCGACAAAGTTGGCGGGCGACCAATATTAGGCGATATTCCCATGCACTCGGCGCAAGCGCCTATTGGATAGCGAACTAAACAAAGGATTTTTTTGAAAAGTGTACTATGTCGGTAATTTTTACCGACAGTACATTATAATTTGACTGCACGGTTGGTGCGGTGGCTGGGCAACCGGCTGCCGTGCAACGTTTCGCGAGTTCGATTCCCGCACGGAACAATACAACACGACACAACACGAAACAACAATTTGTGGATCACACAAAGTATTGTGTGATCCACAAATTGTTGTTTCGGGTCTGGGTTTATTGTGTATGTGAACTTGTATGTTTGCAAACGCACCCACGACACAGGAGAAAATCCTAATGTGGGCCAACATTATTATAAAAGAAAGAAAAAGAAAAAAGAAAGTTAAATTATGTGTTTCATGAAGTTATAAAAAAATGTATTGAAATGTAATAATTTGCCATTTTAAAGCGTGATTCAACAATAAAATAAATAAACTCATTGTTTAATATCACTTTTATTCAAATAATTGTTACAACTATCTTATGCTAGAACACCGAGAGGTTTATTGGTGCATGACGGGACTGGGTTCATGGGTTTTTTTTTTTTAAGGGGGGAAAATCATCGAATGACTGCCCCCGCCTGGGTGAGGCGGGAGGGAGTGTCAGACTCTTACTGACTAAAAACCACCCCGTTCCTTCTCCTGCACGTCGAGCCGGAGCCCCGGTTACCCGTTAGGTTCTCCGCGAGGGTTCATGGGTTAAGGTGACTTGCTCGTGCTGTTCAAGTGCGTGATGCTGCATCGGTTCGTCCACCAGCCTGTAGGAGTTCGTGGGAGCAGTGTAGGCTGAGACGGCGTGGCTCGGAGCTGACTGCACCAACTGTCCCGAGACTATTGAGGGAGAACAGCTAAACAACAGGGGCACGCCGCATCCTCCAACGTTTGCGTTAGGGAACACGCCCAGTGTAGTTCCAGCCCCAGCTTGACCCAGCACTCGTCCTCCAATACCAGCTATGGGAGACACGCCAGCTGCAACGCCGTATCCTCCCAGCCTCGCCATTGGAACGTGACCAGGCATTTGGCCGGGCATGAACTGGTCCATGTCGGAGAACTGCATCATTTCAGGGTCTTCCACGTTGCGGTAGTGTGGTGGATATCCGTAATGAGGTATGGAATGTGGGAGGTATCCATGGTCGTATAGTTCAGCGTTAGGTATGTAAGAGCTGGTGGGGAAGTGTTCACACGATGACACCACGTGTCCGTGATGTGGCGCTCGTCGCTCCCGAAGGAAATCTTCTATTTGTTGCTCGTTCATGGTGAGCGGCTGTTCCCCCTCTGTGGTGGTAGTAGTGGGGGCTCCCGCTACCGTCAGGACGACGATGGCAAATACACCGGATAATAGTACTGCTTTCATTGTTACTGTGTGTTCCCCAACACCAGTGAGACATTAATATTTATACACGGTTTGATCATGACGTTTTGATCAAAATAACTCCTTAGTTTGCAATCTGTGTAAGTACACTAAACAAGTACTTGACCGAGATATTTCTGCTAATTCAGACAAGTCATCTCGTCAAAGTGCACGGAATCGGGTCACATAACTTAACGCCTTCACGGCTTTTCCTCAAAGGACTGGGCAGAATTACGTAATTAAATGTTTTAAAATCTAATAAGTGCATTAACAAACAAGTTGGCGAATCATACATGATTTCACGGAGTAAAATTTTTGAGTCCGTGCAATAGACCATTTCGTTAAATATGTTACATTGTAGTCGTGTTTCGTTGCTCGTAAAACCGTTTTAATCCTTCAAATCAAATAAAAGGCGAGATGTTATTGTGTTATTCACGAAGCATAATGTTCGCTTTGATTTCGCTTCTCATGTATGAAGACGCGGGTTCGAAACCTAACAAGCACTTCACTTAAGTACCTACTTTTGGTATTTTATGTGAAATATTCTGTATACACTTATTACCACACAAGCAACGATATAATAAAACACACGAGTATCAAAGCTAACACTTGCTTGGATACTCTTAGCCTGATAGTCGCGCATATGGCCACTCAGCTGACCGTTTACTGAAAAATATGCCTTTTTTGAGGGGGGAAAATCATCCAATTACTTCTAACACCCGAGTGAGGCGAGAGGGAGTGTCAGACTCTTACTATCTAAAAACCACAACGTTCCTACTCCTGCACATGGAGCCGGAGCCCCTGTAATCCGTTGAGTTCTCCGCTGCTCCGGCATCTATCAGCTATCGGCATCAGCCCTATTGGACCCCATCTGACATGGTCTAATGCATAATATAACAATGTACGTAATAATATATGGAAGATATAATATGTATAAAGCATCTGACACGCTTATTACAATCATATCATCACACCTTTGAATCTAAAGAGGCAGGCAAAGGTGCACACAGCACAACTGCACCACAGAGTGCTCACATAATATAGGTGGTAGTAGGTAGTCCCATATAATGGAGGGTGAGCCCAATACGATACACAACACGCCATTTCAAACTCCTTATTTTGCCCGACCAGGATTCTAATCCAAAACAGTCGACATTAAAATGTAGTTTTATTCTATCAAATGAATTGCTTTTCGTTAGCGTCACTAAAACTCGAAAACGGCTGGACCGATTTGACAAATTTTGGTTATGAATTATTTGTGAAAGCATGTAAAAGGTGAGAAAAAATTTTGAGGCGGTACGAACTTTGCTGGGTTAACTAGTTCCTCATAAAAATCTAAAAGCTATTACGTGCCCTTCGGAAACTACCCAAAACAAGCACCATCACTACTTATTCCTTCAAATGCAAGCGTGGTGGTATACATTAAATATTATTCATATTGTATTTTGCATACCTGTAGCAATATTTCATAATCAAAACGCTTAGGTGCCATTCGCGGAATAACTTTAAGTAATGCAGAATCAACAAAATAGTTTTACCAGACAGTATGTAATTAATTTATGCGCTTGTCCTACATTATAAACTGTGCTAGTTATAGTTATTAACATAATATATTAATATATCTTCACGGTTCTTATCATCTTATGTTATTTTGGAAAAAAAGGCAAAACCTCTCATACTAATAAACAGTCAGTAAGATATTAATCGTCATCACAGAAATATTAAAAAACTTCTTTGTTATATCTATGGTCGTTATTATACGACTATGCGATCAAACAGCTTTGTTTATTAAGATCATGGTGTTATGGTTTATTTTACAGGAACAATCATAGTCATTTCAATTTGTCGACACGAGTTTCAGCTGTAAGATTTGAGTATTAAGATTCATTTTACCTGGACAATCCTGTACCAGGACACATCCTTTGGAGTACTCATCTCTCACGTAGCCAGCTGTACATCGGCATCCGACGCGGCAATCCCATATTGATGGACATCTATCTATAATAATTATGATTACCTATGTAACAAGTCTTTTATCTTTATTTAATAAATAACTGGCTCGTTGGCCGAGTGGTCGCAAGTGCGACTGCAGGGCAAGGGGTCTCGGGTTCGATTCCCGGGTCGGGCAAAGTATTACTGAGTTTTTAAAAAATTCTCAGTAGTAGCACGCAGTCGGGACTGTGCCTGGTATATGGCAATAGGCTCACCCCCTATACATGGGACTCATAACATAGTGAAAAGTGGGTGTTACATTGTACAGTGGTGTGATATGCACCTCTGCCTATCCCTTCGAGGATAAAAGGCGTGATGTTATGTTAAGTCCTCCGCGGCTCCTTAACTGAAGCAACGCTTTCCTAAATGACTCACAAAAGTGATTGTAGATGAAGTTAGGTACGTATTTTTAACTTACCTGTTGCGAATAACCTCAAATTAACACAAGTGGCAGGGCATCTCCAGCCACATAGAGAAAACTCCTCGTTAGGTCTTAAACAACTAGATGTCCTATAAAACATGACTGTTTTAGCACACAATAATAAAAAAATAACTTTCGTTAACATTAGACTGAGGAATGCAACAACAAACTGTAGTTTCTTAGCTATCGTATGATTATTTTATCATTGATTTATGTGCCATATAAAAATAAGTATAAAGTTGTAGTACATTGCAGCCAGTAAAGTTTATTTGCTGTTCCAGAAAATTCAGCAATATACCTACCTACTTGTGTTTTTTTATAAAACAATTGAATTGTATGAAGTATTGATCTCTACTTCTTTTTCTTTCCGTTTTGCTCTACTGTTACCTGCCTGAACTTAAATTTTCATTTCATTAGGATACCAGTTTTATTTTATCTAAGCTACACCAGACGGTAGGTACAGACCTACGACTTACATTGCATTGGTTAAAACAATCATTGGACGACAGTATGTAAGGATTTTTTTTAAGGGGTAAAATCATCGAATGACTGCTCCCGCCTGGGTGAGGCGGGAGGGAGTGTCAGACTCTTACTGACTAAAAACCACCCCGTTCCTTTTCCTGCACGTCGAGTCGGAGCCCCGGTTACCCGTTAGGTTCTCCGCGACAGTATGTAAGGATACGGTCGCATAAGGTGGTGATAATAAGTAATAATTAATAACATTACGCCATCTTGACGGCATCAAGCTTAGAAAATAGTATACAATCAAGATTTTATACAATTCTTAGCTTTGGCGTTGAACGCCTAGTAAATTCAAAGGCGACCTTCAAATAAAACTACATATGTAGGGGACGCCACAAAACTATTAAAGTCAGTAAAAGTCCTAAATTCTAGACGAAAAACTAAACCCCTTTAGTTAATTATAATGTATAGTTTCATTATTAAAATCTGTTGCAAAATGATGTAGCCTAAATAACTCCAACTTAACCTTGGACATATTTTAGTCGTCGACAAAATAAGTATGAACGTGACATTATTAAGCCTGAAGATAACTGGTTTTACACGGAATGATTGGTCAGCAATTCTTTCCTGTTTGTTACACATAATTTCTCATCTACAAAATCAATTACCTACGTTTTACAAATAGACAAATGCGATAGGAATGCATCTAAATACCTTACTTTTTTTCGCTATTTTTCTCTTCATTTTTTTGTTGGTAAGCTAAATAGCTGTATACGCCTAAATAACTCCCCCTTAAAGTAAATACAAAAGATATAACTGGATACTAAACATCCAAATTTTATTATTTTCCCTAAGTTACCACTAGAACTGCCTCATTGGCCAAGTGGTCGCAAGTACGATTGGCGGGCAAGAGGTCCTGGGTTCGATTCCCGGGTCGGGCAAAGCAAAACTGGGTTTTTAAAAATTATCTCAGTAGTAGCACGGAGTCTGGAATTGTGCCCAATGGCAATAGGCTCACCCCCTATTACGTGGGACTCATAATATAAATAGTGAAAAGTGGGTGGTACATTGTACAGTAGTGGCATTAACTCGTCGAGTACCGGTTTTGTAGACACAATTATAGAACAATAGGTTGCGGTCACCGGTGACCACTTGGTGTTTGACAGTTTAATGTGCACCTCTGCCTACCCCTTCGGGGATAAAAGGCGTGATGTTATTTTATGTTATGTTACCACTAGAAAATACACCTATGTTCATTGTTTTACAGTAACCGATTCATATCACTATGAATAGCTAAACAACAATATATTTAGACTTTTTCCGAGCATTACCGTTAAGTTTATCTAGGAATTTTATCAACTGTCAGAATATCTTCGAACAGTCTTTATCACCTGCATCTAAAGAGATTACCAATCTCTTGGAATATCAACTTGTACGTGCTTAAGTATGCAATATTCTCACGAACTTCTGCATCAAAGTTTTCCTCCACTCGTCTCCCATAATGGTTAACTTAGTATATAATATGTGTCCTAATCCAACGAGCACCATTCTCCAACGTGTTCAATTTCTAAGGATTTTGGTACAAATTAAAACATGCAGTTACAAAGTGCTGCAGGCCTTGTAATTCTATTATTATCATGTGTGAGCGGTCATCCGAACATCTGGCAGAGTGACGTCCTCGCTCCGGTCCATGGGTTCTACGTGAAACCTTCAGCTGACGGGACAAAGGGAGACCTGTTTGTTGCTGCTACGGAAGAAAATGGGGTGAAGTCGCAATGGGCCCTTGATCAGCCAATCAGCATTCTGCCAGTACCTACTCAACAACAGGCTGCTTCGGTTCCTGTGGCGTATTCTCCTGTATACGCAACAGCACATGAAGAAAGTAGTCCTCAAAAGCGATCTGCTTTGACGACCCAAACTCCTAGCGCACCCGTACAATACGCCTACGCTATGCCTGTGTCATCTACTACTCCGGTTGAGACTACTGGCACTGCGGTATCGTACCCTTACGCCTACACAATGACTGCAACTCCTACTGCGACTGAAACTCCTAAGTGTGAACATCAAACAAATACTGTACAATACGCTTACCAGTTTCCCTACCACATGTTCTATCCCCATATGATGATGTCTGCTTACACCAATGCAATGAGCATACTCAAAGATGCAGGATTTAGTGAAGATTCAGCCAATTCAGTGATGGCCCATGCTTCACCTATGTGGTCGCCTACTTCGTACGCTTATCCAATGTACGTGATGATAGATCCTAAGCCTTGCGCTCAGGACGAAGCTACAACTACCACTCCAACTCCTACTTCTACTACTTCAAACACATCGGAAGAAGAAAATACACAATCATAAAAAATAATATCTAGATTAAAACTGTAAATTATTAATATTTATTTCATCTTTTAATAAAAATTTAAATTGAGCATATTTTTTTATTTTCCTACCAACATGACAATGCATTCGATTCAAACGTAAGCGTACAACATCACTTAGTAAAATTTAAAAATAATTCTCTGGCACCTTTCAGAGGTTCAGAGATGCACTTTTCTTTTTTTAAGGGGGGAAAATCATCGAATGACTTCTCCCGCCTAGGTGAGGCGGGAGGAAGTGTCAGACTCTTACTGACTAAAAACCACCCCGTTTCTTCTGCGCTTCGAGCCGGAGCCACGGTAACCCGTTAGGGTCTCCGCGACTCCGACTCGGCATCAACCCTGTTGGGCCCCATCCGTGGTGGTCTGATGGCTCTTTGAGGCGCGCGGTACGCGGCGCTCCGTACGCTCAGGTCTGGTTCTGGTCGGACGGTAAGCCACGCATGCTCGCCGTCTGCAGGTCCATTCAGAGATGCACATGCCTTTGTTTCAACATCCTTGTGCAGGTAGTTTTCACGAAATATAAGTCCTAAGTTTATTGAGTATATCAGCGCCATCTACAGCTGCTCACAAAAACCTATCTTGGCATTTTAGCCGCAAAAAATCATAACACTTTTATATTTTAAAATATATATTGGCAAATAATTCTTAAAGTCCAAATTAAGAATCCTAAAGATAGATAAAAACTTAGATAATTCATTATTCTCTTCGCTGCGTTCCGTTCATCCGTTCCATTCTTTTGTTACCAAACGACAAAATCGTATTTTTTTTATTTGAAGCTGGTAACTTACTTTCTCGTGTCATTTATGTCAGTATGACAATAATAAAACGTGTTTGTGATGGGAACGGCGCAAATGAATAAACTGTAATATTTAAAGATTTTAAATATATAAAATCAAGTGAATTACATCCATTGTTATATATCAAAGAAAACTAATTAACACAAAATGGTTTCTAAGAAAAAGAAGAAGGTATGTAAACAAATTTCACAATGCGAAGTAACACGTGCTGTAATATTACTCTAACCAATAAAATCTTAAATTATTACAGTATTCATCGGGAGAAGGAGCGCAATTTATGACTAGGAAAGCTGCTCTAAAGAAATTACAGCTATCCCTCAAAGATTTCAGACGTATTTGTATATTAAAAGGTATATATCCGCGAGAACCACGCAATCGTAAAAGGGCTCAGAAAGGCGCAGGAGGCATCAAAACTTTATATCATACGAAGGACATAAAGTTCTTACTGCACGAACCTATAATATGGAAACTCCGCGAGTTGAAAGTAAGTACATAATTAACACGCAATTCTGTGTGGCAATTATTTTGCCTACATATTGTGCAAGTCCTTATTAATACTAACGTACTGTGTATCTTCTAGGTGTACCAACAAAAAATTCGTCGTGCAAAAGCTATGAGAGAATACAAAAACATGAAAAAGTACTTGCGAGACTATCCCGAAATAAACATAGATCACATCGTCAAGGAAAGATATCCAACTTTTGTAGACGCTTTGCGTGACTTGGATGACTGCCTGACATTGTGCTTCTTATTCAGTACTTTCCCATCCTTAAAAAAGGTGCCAAGAGACCAGTCAATGCTGTGCAGGAGACTGACAGTTGAATTCATGCATGCCATTATTGCTGCAAAGGCACTGCGGAGAGTATTTGTATCTGTCAAAGGCTACTATTATCAAGTTGAACTTGAAGGACAAACTATAACATGGATTGTACCACATCACTTCTCTTTCCAGGTTTGCTGTACTTTCATACTCATTCTTTACATTTTAACACCCTTATGTTTGTAATTCAAATAAATTTCATTTTACAGCCTCAAAACAAAGACGAAGTTGATTTCAAAATCATGTCAACATTTGTGGAGTTCTACACAATGATGCTTGGCTTTGTAAACTACAAACTGTATCATTCACTAAACTTAGTTTATCCGCCTAAACTGACAGCTGCATTCTCAGCTGATGACAAAGAGCTCATAGATGAACAAGCTTATGTAGCCGAGAGAATAGCAGCCATGAACTTGTCCTTAGCCAGGGTACCAGGTTCCAATGAAGCTGAAGAGTTGCCAGAAATGGACATCTTTGATACAGAGGATAATGATCCCCAGAAAATGGAGGAAGCCAAACTTGAAGCTGAAAAAATCAAGAAGCTGAAAACCATGTTCAAAGGTCTCAAATTCTTCATCAACAGGGAAGTGCCTAGGGAGCCTTTAGTTTTCATTATCCGCTGTTTTGGTGGTGAAGTGTCTTGGGACAAGGACCACTTTGTTGGAGCTTCATTTGATGAAACAGACGAGAGCATTGCTTACCAAATTGTTGACAGACCCAGTATGGATAAACA